TCCATGGGAGAGAGAGATTTCACTATTATGAATCAAGGAAGAGAATATACAACCACATGTCAAAACCTCACTCACTCACTCATCATCTCTTTTAAGGCTACATGTATACACTCGGGAATTACATACACTCTCCCCTCTCCTCACAACACTCACATTTAAACCCCTTACATTTTTTTTTTTTTCTCTTCTTTCTCTCTCTCTAAACCCCTCACACCCATCTCTATTTATAGAGTCTTCGAACTCAATTCCTTATTGGACAAGTATTCCTCAACTTGTCTACAAGAAATTACCATAATGATCAAAACTCTAAAATAGAAACATAATGGGATACACTTTTCTCTATAACTTTCAAACTTCCAAAACGAAAAAAGAAACTAATTTTCTGCACCCAAATTTTGAGCCACAAACCTAACATTTTCATCGACAAACAACCATATATTATATCAACCACATGCAATGCTATGCATGAAATGCACTATGCAACCACATCCTACACACATACCCGCGTATATCCACGCACAAACACCGAAAAAGTGTTATCTAGCCTGACTTTGGTACCTCTGCCGTCCCTAGAAAGAATTTGTTAATCGTCCCTGGCAAAGGGTAACTCCCAACTACCATTTGGGGCCCGAGTCGCTAAATTACTCATGGATACCTCCCGTGTCCCTACTAACTAGCTAGCACTACCTGCAAAGGGGTACATCCCCAACTATCGGTTTGAGAAATACATTTTCTCAAAGCTTCTTCAAATTCACAATTCATATTCTACATTCATCTTTACACACCCATGTCCAGTGATCATGAAATGTCAATAATGTCATATGGATAAAATGTATTACTCCTAAACAATTTCATTTGTCATCATGAGTTCTCAACTTTAGCAACATTTAAGACTTCACAACATCTACAATATGTGGACATGTCATACATAGTCAATAATACCATTATTTAGCGTACCAACATATCATCATTATGACAATTCTAGCATCGATTCGACATCAGGAATAATTGCATTGACTAATTACAAACATAAAGTATGGTAATCACAACAAACATCCATTAATTCACATGATGGCATCAATTTGACATGCTTACTCACAAATGACAATTTTATTCCTCATAGAAATTACAATTTAGTAATAAGAAGGCATATAACCACATATGAGCCAACCAATTTAACATAAATCTTAACATAGGTGAAACCCTAGAATTTTTCTACACAATTTATGTCAAATTAGCATGTAAATCAAGGGAGAAAACATGTAATTGACTTCAAAACTTAAGGACTATGACAATTAGACAACTCTACCTTCAATGATGCAAAAGCCCCAAAATTTCAAAAATCTCAAGGTCACCTAAATGGAACTTTGCTCTGATCAAAATGAAGCTCTCATCGAACTCTACAACTTTGCCTCCTTTGGCAGAGATCAAATCTTAGAGGAAAGGGGTGAAATCTTGGCTTGAATCATGTAAATACCATGTTTGTAAAGAGAGAGAGAGTTTTAGAGAGAGAGAGAGAGAAACTTTTGGCTGAAGAAGAGAAGAAAAATGACCAAAAATTTGGTTATGTGACTATATGGCTTGGTTATGGTCAACCACGGTCCCACCTTGACCTTTAAAATGTCAAAAATATCCCTTACGTAGAAATGCTCACCATAACATGCCACAATGATGCGTTTAAACACATAATCATATAGATATACACCGAATGATAAAATATGGAATGCAATGAACCCAAAATATAACTCCGAGCACGAGAAATCCGGGTGTGGGGCCCACATGGGACCTCTCGGACTAAAATTTTAAAAAATAATAAAATGACACGAAATGCATTTCTAAGAGTTTTAAACTCAAAATAATGCCCTAAATGAATTCCGGAGCCCATACGACACACTAAACTGTGCAAAATAATTTAAATATAAAATAATAAAAAAATACCAAAAAAATTCGGGACACTACACATAATAGGATTTATTTTAATTGGTAGCTTATTTTATTATTTGGTAAATTATTTTATTTGTAAATGATTTGAAATACCTAGACCCCCTTGTACTTTTAATAATAATATAAATAAGCGGCAAACCTTAGTCATGCGATAAAAAATATATTATTGTGTATCAATATGCAATAGATAGTTAGAAACTAAGTCGATAAAAAAATATAGTATTGTGTATCAATATGTAATAGATAGTTAGATACTAACTCATTATAAATTATCTTTTTTCACAACAAGGCATTAAGGGTCATATTCCATGCCAAAGTAAACTTGTTTTTTGTAAAACAAAATTGTAGCAGAATTGTTAAGCCAAAGGCCAAAAATGTTATTTCGTAACGCATAAAACCTGACCTTATAACATGCAAGAAACTTCTCTTCCATCAAGTATCATACAAGTAAAATAAAATTTAAAGTGGATTTCAAGGACAACTAGCAAAGTCAATATCCACCACTTCAAGCCCGTCAATCCTATCATAAAGCATACAAAAGGAAAAAAAAAAATTATTGAACTTTTACATATTACAATTTGCTTCTGATGAGAAATAATAACTCTCCAACTCCTAATAAACAAATTAAACTCCATTCATTAAATGTAATGTGAAATTATAATAGTGTCTCTATGTGAAATAAAAATTTGCTAAACTAAAACCTAATAAACAAAATTTTGATACAAAAACGATATATCGGTCATTTTATAAGCAAAATATGTTGAGAATTTTTCCTTTGCTTGAGGATCGAACTTAATAGCCCAACTAAAAAAGTGATTGGGATAGGTACCACGTGTCAAGTGCTGCGAGAGATATTACATATCAAATACGGAGAAATTACTAGATGGTTCTGGTATATTTGACACTTGGTGGACTAATTTAATGATAGCCCTCCGATCATGATCCTCCGTAATATATTAATACACTTTGTGGGACCATTTTTTCAATCCAAGAGTCTGTATTTAACTGATCCACCAAGTATCAATGGTCAAGATCATCTAATAATTTCTCGTCAAGTACCTCCTTTACGTTTCAAAAGTGAGGGTTGATCGTAAACGTGTAGACATAACACGAGTTTTGGTAAAATTAATAGGGTTAAAATTATAAAACCCCCACTACTTTCAAATTTTGATTAATCTCAACTTGTTTAAGAAAATCCCTACATTTTTAAAAGTGATCACAATGCCCCAATATCCGTATCCAACTCGTTAACGGGCTATGAAATGACAAATTCAACCTTACTAATTAATATTAAATTAAAAATTAAAACTATTTTTTAAAATTACAAAAATACCCTTTAGTCTTCTTGTTTACCCCTCACTCTCAAACTTTCACCCATCTGTCTCTCTCTCTCGAATTGTAATTTTAAAGAGTATTTTTATAATTTTTAAAAATAATTTTTATTTTTAATTTAACATCAAATAGAAAGATTAAATGTGTCATTTCATACTCCCATTAATTGGAAAAATGTGACATTTTAAAAAAAATGTACGATTCCTTGAAATAAGTTGGAGGTTGGAGTTTTATGATAAAAATTTAAAGGGTAAAGTACAGTCACACCCTCTTAGGTTTGACAAAAGGACACTCAGAGGAAACTTACCTGTTTTTTGGACAAAGACACCCCTTGAAGGTTCAAAAATGGACAAAGACACCCCTCTACATGAGAAATTGACCAAATTACCCTTCAACCGTTTAGGAGACTTTTTTAACTTTACAGTTTAATAAATTGGACCAATCTACTCTCATGGACAATTTATGCATAAAAAAAAAAGTAAAAAAAAAAAAAAATTGTTCACTTTTTTATTTTTTGTTATTTATTTTATAAATGTTCCAACTTCTTAAAAATGTAGACGTCTAAAATAATTTTTTCATCCAATACATATATTTCAAATAAATTATATTTTGTTATTATTTCTTTCATTTTTCTTTTTTATTTTTAAATTAAGATGCTTAATTCTTTCATCTAAAAAAATTAAACCAATCTCTTTTCCTTAAAAATAAAAAATTTGGTACCAATATAACTTTATGCATCTTAAATTATATATCAAATATTATGTATTTCCCAACATAAAAGAAAATACTACATCTCTTCTTATCTCAAATGCATTATTATGATTAAAATTATAAATTTTTCCTCATGCTTATGATTTTGATGCTTTAATCCACATCCAAAAAGTTACAAAGAATTAACTTTCACATATTAATTTTTTTCTATCCCCCGTAAAAAAGGGCAAAACAAAAAAAAAAAAAAAAAAAAGAAGTTATAAACTTCTTTTTTTTTTTTTTTTTTTGTTTTGACTAAAATAAAATATGGTTCGAGTGTTCGACGCAGTGAGTGCGTGCAAATAGATTTTGTGTTTTGTTTTTTGTTTTTCTTAAAAATAATAATAATAATTCCAACCAGAGATATTGTTAAATCACATCATTACTCAAAATAATTCGATTGACCCTATTATTTGAGCAACCTGTAAGTGAATGCATATAAATTGAGTTATGTAAATCATACGAGTCAACCCATTCTATTTTGCCTTAAAATAGTAATAATAGTAATAATATAAATATAAATAGAAATAAATAAATAAATTTCTATTTTGCATCGAGCTAATTTAAAAAAAAAAAACAAAAAAAATATATATATGATATCCGCAAACTAAACTTTCTCTTTGAAAGAAAAAAAAGTGAAGAATATAAAGTTTTTTTTTATTTTTTTTTACTTTTTTTTTTATGCATAAATTGTTCGTGATGGTAGATTAGTTCAATTTATTAAATTGTAAAATAAAAAAAAGTCTCCTAAACCGTTAAATGGTAATTTGGTCAATTTCGTCTTTGTCCATTTTTGAACATTCAAAGAGTATCTTTGTTCAAAAAATAAGTAAATTTTATCTGAATGTCCTTTTGTCAAACCTTGACTGTACTTTACCCAAATTTAAAAGTAGCCTGGGATTTTTTTATGATTTTAACCCAAATTTTTACACTATAATGGAGTAATTCATAAGCATTTTATTATTTTACATGTTCGGACAAGCAACCACCAAAGTCCTCTTCTCGGTCCCAAGCGAGAGTCTTTCTGCAGCGCTAAACCTCTCCCCATCTTTTTTTCTGTTCATTGCCAAGTAAGTGTGAGAGAGGGAGGGTGGTACGGACTATAAATACAGTCTTTCTCTGTAATTTTCGCTTCGATTCTGAGAGTAATGCACTGCAAGACTCATTGATAAGGAAGGAGTATTGACGAACATGGCATTTCAAGGGAAGAAGTTCATCAACGACCCTAATGGTAAACCCTCGCTCGATTCTTCGTGTTGTGTTTTCCGATTCTCTCTCTCATATTTGATTTCTTGTTGCCTATCCCTGAAATTTTGATACGACATTAAGTGAATTATGATTCTCGATTTTTGGAATGATTTGTTTTGCTCCAATTTATGTGTACATCAATACATGCGCAGCAAATTCCATTGCAAGTTCCTTTTAATTGCTAATAAAAATGCTGGAAAAGAAATAAAAGGGAAAATTGGAGAGACAATATTTTTAGTTCATCGATTAATCATCTCAAATGAATCTTCAGCGACATTTAGTGAATTATGTTTCTCCCTTTGTGTAGTAATTTCGTTGCGTTTCGGTTTATGGGTACATCATTAATACATGCACTGGAAATTCTGTTGCAAGTTCTCTTTGATTGCTGATAAAATGTTCTCTCTCTATATATATTTCCCCAAAAGTTAAAAGCAAAACACACACCCATTACCCACAATATGCCACCAACGGGGCTCAAACTCTCAATCTTGCCTTTAAGGAGGAGAGAACATACCATCTGGGCTAGAGGCCATAAAATGCTGGAAAAGAAAGAAAAAATTTGGAGAGACAGTATTTTTAGTTGATTTAATTCATCAATTAATCAACTCAAATTAATATTCTACGATTATCTGGTGAGTTGGGTCTTTCATTTGCTTAATTCTGCCAAACAACAATAATTATTTCCCTTATAATTTAGTAAATTTCTTGGTGAGAAATTTAGGGAGAGAAATGATATAAAAAAAAATATAAGACAATAATTAAAAACCCCCAGTCAACAGTCTAATACACTTTTATGCTTTGATCGATCAGGGTTTTACATTCTTCTTTAGAAACTCTAACAACATGAAGCATAATGTTCAACATTTTCATTTGTTTACTTTACTCTGTTTTATCATTGATTGATTGGAACGTTAGATTGAGGTCATTGCGGCATTATGGATCTGAAACGTTGTTCCTACTATGAATACAGATGCGGTGACTGAGTTCATTGAGGGTCTTGTAGAAACTTATCCCGGGTTGCAATATTTGGATGGCTTCCCAGAGGTAATTAATATTTTATATATGTGTTTATTGACAAATGAAACCTTGCTTTAATGTATATATGCTTTAAAGTTATTGATGACATTTCCTTCAATATAGGTTAAGGTTGTTTTACGTGCTGATGTTTCCAGTGCAACGAATGATAAGGTCGCGGTTATTTCAGGTTTGAGACCCCGTAGAAATGTTCAATAAATGTTTGTTTATAAACTAGCTTTGTAATTTTGATGGAAGAAGTTAAATGCTTTGAAATTATGCCTGCATCATGCTTAATACTCATGAGTTCTCTATTTTGCTAAATTATTTGTGCTTGTGATGGTTTATAATAGTCTTCTGTTTCTACACATTGATGTAGCTGTAAATCTAATGAACTACTTAATTTCTGGATTTGGACGGAGATGTTGCTGTTTATTTTGACTTGTAAGGTTGCTTAAATTAGCATTGATTTGATATTAATTGTTGTTATATTGAAATTTATCTTTGAGGGCCGTTGCCTGGTTCAATGCAAGCCTTAGAACAGCCACTTTGGAAAATACCGAAGGATAGGTCTGGCTCGATTCCTCTTTCACTAGTGCCCTGCCATGACAGGACCAAATCTGGGTAATGCCTTGGTTATATAATGAAGGGTTGTTGTTGCTATTTCTTTTCGACTGGCGAGAGCATACTCTTACATTTAGGAATCATGTTTTTACTCTGTTACTATTTTTAGAAACATTGCAGCATACTATAGTACATTGACTTTATCGATTGATGTAAATTTTTTTTTTTTCTCCCGTGAACTTTTAGCTGATGAGTTGATGCAAATTAAAATTGCAGGCTGGCCAAGAATTGAAGCCTTAGTTTGTAGATAGTTTCTTGAATATATTTCTAACGCTATTGACTTCGGATTTGGAATTTTTATAATACAGGAGGTGGAAGTGGCCATGAGCCAGCTCAAGCCGGATATGTGGGAGAAGGGATGCTGACCGCAGCTATCTGTGGAGATGTTTTTGCCTCTCCACCTGTTGATTCAATTCTAGCTGTATGATTTCCTACAACAATTCCAATAAACTTAAAGAACATAGTTATTTTTATCATGTTAATTACTTCTTTACATGGTTAAAACATTCTTTTAATCAAATTTAGGGCGTACGAGCTGTGACTGGTCATGCGGGTTGCCTCCTCATTGTAACGGTATTCTGAATTCTAAACTGATGGGGCAAATTATTCTTTTCAGTCTTTGGTTGAATAAATATTGGTGTTTCCTATACCTAGAATCTGTTAATCATAACGTGTGGGAATGTGTCCAAGTGTGAGAGCTTCTTGAACCCCGAATATTAGATAGGGGGATTTGACTTGAAATACATTTAGAAGTTGAGCATGAATACGTAGACATGTTTTGCTCATTTTTAATATATTATATAATGGTATAACGTATGGTTAAATTTTTAGTGTATAATCAATTAGAAATTAAATTAAATGAGATATGGTGAAACAAAGGAGTTGCCATCTGCTCTAAAAGTAGGAAATCATTATTTTTTACCAAATTTGATCTTCTTCTGGTTTTATCTTCACATGTAGAGATTGAGGTGTTAAATTTGGGTTCATGTGTTTGGCACATTATCGCATACCCAAACGGGAAACACCCATGTAATGTTGTCTTGATGAGTGTATGTTGAGGGGAATAGGAGAGTTCATGTGAAACTGGGTATTTCTATGTGTGATAATGGCATCTCATGCAAAGAAAAAGAGGAAGAACAATTAAGACAACTTTATCAATACAAAGTTAATAGACACTATGTAAAAATTTGCTGTTTGTTAATTTTCAATGGTAGAATTTGATATATTTGGATTAAGAATTTTAGCAAATATTGGATGGTTCAACTGCATTTCCTGGTTTTTGATGCTGTAATATGGGTTTTGGCAGAATTATACTGGTGATCGGCTAAATTTTGGCTTGGCTGCTGAGCAAGCAAAATCTGAAGGCTTCAAAGTTGAGGTATGTATTTTTGTGAAAAACTCTATTAAAACTTATCCTAAGACTCTATCAGTATTAAGGAAAGAACAGTTATGAATGTATATAAAATTGATATCAGATTATGCAAGTAAATTGATATTTGCAACATGTAGATGGTAATTGTTGGAGATGACTGTGCTCTACCACCACCCCGGGGCATAGCTGGACGAAGAGGTTTGGCGGGGACTATTCTTGTTCATAAGGTGTAATTCTCTCTCTCTCTCTCTCTCTCTCTCTCTCTCTCTCTCTCTCTCTCCCTCCCTCCCTCCCCGTGTAGCACGCTTATGCCTGTATGCCAAACACAGAAAATTTAAAACAAAAACATGCAAATTGTTCTTACTTACCAAAAAAAAAAAAAAAACATGCAAATAGTTCTTCCCATATGTACAACCTCTAGGTTTTACCTTTTCTGACATACCCTTTTCCTGGTTTACTCTTTCCCACCGACCCCAATAATATTCCTGGCAACGTGTTTCACAAATGTTAATCTGGCCAGTTTCTTGTTTTCACTTGTTAGTTTCCAATTTATCCTTATCCTAGTGCATGTAAAATGTTTTCCTAGACTAAAAAATTCACTTAAGTGTTTGTTCTTGTAAAATTGGAAGACCATTTCTCTTTGTATGTAATTTGTCTGTGTTAAGTTATCTTCTTGGGTGAAATTATCTAAGAGATTAAGGTAAGGTCATTTATTTTGTTTGCATTGTTTTTGATAGCACATTGATAATTTGGAAAATTTTCTTTACAACACAAGGAACAATTCATTTCAAGTTTTTAGGAGTTTGCTGACAATAAATCAACAACAATAATCCTATTTAAAGGCTCGGTATAATCCAGTGGATACCATTATTAGTTACATTTCAAATCTTTTGAAAAAGAAGTCGTAATTGTATCGATTTCAGCTGAAGCACTAGAAGCCTATATGTGACCATTTCTATGGGATTTAATGTTTCCTTGAGTTTTATTGGACATATGTTGGATCAGCTTAATAAAAGCCTCGTAGATGGATATGAGATTAAATGTTTCCTGGATTTGATTTCTGTTTTGGTTCAATTTCCAGCCTCCAGAATGCTGCTTGTTATGGGTTTAATAGGCACCTTAAATTTTTATAATTGAGAGGGTCATTTGCCTAGGTTCATTCAAGATTCTATCCCTTGATGGTGCTTGAGTTAAATTTATATAATTTGTATGGTGGTGTAGCTTGTAGTGGGCTCTACAGGTGCTTCTAGTCTTCTAATTAAGAGGGCCACAACAGTCGTTCAAGAATATATCCGTGGATTCTACTGGTTTATTTACTGTTATAGTTTTGTAAGGCCATTCTCCTTTTATGCTCGAGTATGTGTTTCTTTTACCTTTTTTTTTACGTTCGCTTTCAAATTTGTGGAAGAACGAGGAGTTTGATACTCAATTACTCAATTTCATAATGGCACTGCCGCGGCTGCTTTCAGAATATTTCTATTCTAGTTTTGAATTGGGCTCTTTCAACTTCAACATTCCCTACCCTCTCATCTCTGCTGTCAGCTGAAGCACCGAACCTTTGAGCTTGGAGATGGGGTACTGATAAGGGTGCCGGACCACATGCAAGACCAAAGAGCTCAACTTCAAGTTACCGGTCGAACCTTTCAATCAGCTGTGAGGCTGTAGAGTGGAATGCTCCAAGAGTCTAACTCTCACATTTGTAAATTCCTGCAAGTTGGTTCAAAACTAGGTAAGGAATCACCTTGAACCTGAACGGATAACCAAGAAAGACTTCAATGTATTATGTGTAAGGGGGGCTAAGCCTTTCCTTAGTCCTATAGTCCTAGTCCGAGTGCTATGTATGAGTTAAAGACTAAAGAAAGACGGGACGTCATTGCCTAATCAGCAGTTGACTAACGACTTGAACGAAAATCTAACTATAAATGAAAATCTTCCTCTAACAATTGTGAAAATGGGGATATTCATATATTCCATCCCAAGCGGACTCTCCCCTTCTGTTGCCCTTCTTCTCTCCCAGCAAGCCCGCCAATAAAGTCACAGCTCGCTTTGCAGCATCAAGAAAATCTTTTCCTTGAAATGTTCAGAAGTTATAAATCTGTCTTTTTTTGCTTGGAGAAGGACCACTCGTTATCCTAAAAAGCTTTGACGTATTACCCCTTTATTGTACTGCAGGATTTGCTTTGGTGCGTTGGTGAGGCATTGTGTCGCCAATTATCGAATCCCAAGTCCACCGACTTATCTCTTCTGCGAACCATTGTTCAAGGATTGAGATAGTTAGATTTCTAAGAAAGCTAAAGATTGTTAAGTAGTTTGGGTTTATTTACAAAAATTATGTCTTTTGGAGCACTAAATATTGAGGAAGTGTAATTTGGTAGCTTCAAGCAAGTGAAGTGTAAAACTTCCATTTATCCATCTACCCATTTCCATACCACATATGTATGATTTATGTAATGTTAAGAGCGTTGATCATTCCCCCCTTGTTTGAGTCAGTGGAGTTTTGAGATGCGGTCTTTCTTTCTTTTGGGAAGATAGGTGCCATTTCCGCCAGTCATTTTGCATGGCACATCCGCCGGGTCTTTGAAGAATTAGACAACCTTCTATCTGAACCACCCCTTGACATAGGATACCCACAGACCTTTAGAAGAAGAGCAATGATCGTAGAGTTCCAAGCATTAGAAAGAATAGCCTTCACCTCTGGGGATCTCACTCAGGCAAAGTACAGCTCAGGCAAATATTGATCAAAACTTGACCCTTGTATTCCGTGGGATTGTGTTTGTAGGAGGTTTCAGCTATGCTGTTGTGCTTGACCATGCTGGTTTAGAAGTCCACTGAAGAACTAAGGGACAATGCCCCCCTAACCTAAGTGGAGACCACATTCCATTTAAGATATACCAAAGCATTAATAATTGCGGTTAGGACCAACTTCTATTTTAGAGGATTGGGATCCCACTATTTGACAATATGAAGCGAGACCGAGCATTGTTAAAATGGCTTCTAAAAGTAGAACCGTTCCTTAATCGCTGTGGTAGAAAGCTAAGATCAATAAATTTCAATCCATTTCTTAGTCATTCTTTCACTTTCAAATCTACAATAATCTATTATAGGAGGATTGAGATCCTACTCTCTCACAATATGAAGAGAGACCAATGAGATTGGATAAGGATTGAGATCCTACTCTCTCACAATATGAAGAGAGACCAATGAGATTGGATAAGGTCTACACTTTTTATATTTTGTTTAAGTAAGATTAATTTTAGAGAGCTCAAATGGGGAGCACGGTCCTATACAAGGCCAAGGGAAACAAAAGATCCACTATATCCTCTTCCTATCCATAAAATCCATGATATCTTCCACAGATTTACAAGTAAACCCATATACCTAAAACAACAAAGAATTTAGTGTAGAGAATTAAAGACCAAATAGGAGCCTCCTCCCCCTCGAAGGATCTCCTATTCCTCTTTATTCATAAACCCCACACGAGATTTACAAGTAAACACATATACCCAAAAGAATAAAGAACTAAGTACAGAGAATTTAAGTGCCCAAATAGGAGCCCCCTCGAAGGATCTCCTTTTCCTCTCTCCGTAAACCCCACAACAGGGGGTCTTGGGCTTCACTTTGCACTATAAACCTCTTCCAAGCCTCAAGCATGCTCCTCATGGAATGCGAAACAACCCAATGTATACCAAACAACGCAAAGAGCATGGCCCAACGATCTCTAGCCATAGGCAATGCAAAAGAAGATGATTAACCATCTCCTTATCTCTCTTGCACATGGAACACCAGTTAACTATAATATGTTGTCTCCTCCTCAGGTATCTATTGTCAAAATCTGCCTCCAAAGCTACTGTCCAACCAAAGAAAGCCACATTCTCACCCACTGATTGGGCATTGAGAACTGCTAGAAAATCGACGATGTCATCTAATTGCCAGTCTTGGAATGGAAGTACCTCACGAACTGTACATTCTATGACACCCTTCCGCTATCAAGATTATAGCAGTGAACAACCAATACCTGTCTGTCTGTGGCAATCCTAAAAAGTCTCAAGAAGGAAAGTGCCAACTGTCTATCTCCACACAAAGTATCCTCCCAAAATCATATTTGTCTCTCATTCCTCACTCTGACCGGGATATGCTTGGAAAATTCATCCCATCCCTGAAGGATGAATTTCCAAACATCCATCCCTCTCGGAGAAGTCACCCCTGATGAGCACCATCCACCCTTAGAATCTCTGAACTTGCAACAAACCACCCTCTTCTGTGCCTCTCCACCTTGAACATCCACAACTATTTGCCTAGCTAGGCTTGTTGAAAACATCCTACCTCCTAAACCCCAAATCCCCACTTTGAATAGGAATGCAAACCTGCTTCCAACACAGTAGATGGAATATGAACTCATCCCCAATTCCACCCCACAATAAATTCCTCTGCAGCTTCTCGATCCTCATGTTGATAGTTGCGGGCATCTTGAACAATGACGAAGTACGTTGGAAGACTTGAAAGAGTGCTTTTCATAAGGTTGAGGCCTTTTGAGAGATTTTGATTCTTCCACCCCACTAATTTTTCTTTCCACCCACTCTACAAGTGGATCCCAAACAAAAGCCCTCCTGAAGGATGCCCCCAAGGGTAAACCCAAATACGACATTGGAAACGTCCCCACACCACACTCCAAAATGTTAGCCAAATAGGTCATGTCCTCAACCTCCTCCACCGACACAATGCTACTCTTCCTAAGGTTAACTTTCAGCCCTGAAATAGCTGAAAGGACAACAAGACCCCCCTCAATTATCTTAATTGGGCCTCATCCGCATCGCAGAAGAAGATGGTGTCGTCGATAACAAGAAGATGAGAGATGTCCAAGTGATTAGAGGGATCCTTACCTGCACAAAACCCTTTAATAAACCTCAGCTCCACAGCCTGAGCCATCAACCTACTAAAGGCCTCCATCATAGTGATGAACAGAAAGGAGACTAAGGGTCCCCCTACCTCAAACCTCGAGAGCTGCCGAAGAAGCCAGTCGAAGAGTCATTAACCAGAATTGAGAATCTCACCGTGGAATTGTGTCTCCAAGAAAGGGTTTGAAATCACGTCAACATCAAGCTTGCAAGCCACCCCCGACATTCTACACATTCACTAGCAGCCAAAATCTGATGACTACCCAAAAAAAAAAAGAAAAAATAAGAAAGGGTTTGAAATCACTTCATCTATACCATTTTTCAATTTCAATGCTAGGACTTTGGCTATTGGCTTGTATATACTACCCACCAAACTAATAAGCCTAAAGTCCTTCACAATTACACCTAAGGCCTCCTCCCCTTCATAGGAATAAGGGCACTAAATGTAGCATTCATACTTTTCTCGAAGCTACCTTGCTCATAGATGTCTTGATTGTGTCTCAATTATTTTTTTGATAAGCAATGATTGTACAAAAAGCGTTCAAAAGGGGAATGCAACCCTCAAAAGCTACACAAGGCCAAATAGGGCCTCTAAACCCTCAACTAGTCCAAAAAATCAACAAGCTCCTCAATTTCTCCCCAGAACCCAAAGAGCCAATAGCATTCTCCTTTCCTTCAAAAGATCTGTTATTTCTTTCAAGCCATAAACACCACCAGACGCACAAAGTCGTAACCCTTTAGAAATCAAGAACTTGGGCCCTCACTATACAACCTTTCTAAGCCTATGGAAGACCTGGGCATAACCCACTGAACCCTAAAGAGACCCAACAACAAATTCCTGTAGTCTCGAGCCATTAGGCAATGCAAAAGACAATGATTAACCGTTTTTCATCATTCTTACATATACAACACCAATTGACCATGATCTGACTCCTCCTCTTAAGGTTATCCTGGGTCGGGATCTTCCCCAAAATGGATGTCCATGCAAAAAAAGGCCACTTTGATTGGTCCTCTTATGAGCATTAGCCAATCGGTGGAAAATTTTTGTGTTCCCTTCAACCACAAAGCTCTCTACTTTTGGCCCCACAAAATATTCTCCTGAATAGCGATCTTCCAAATCCCCGCTTTGCACTCCTCCCTCCTCCAGCCCCGTACCTCCCTACTTCTGTGCAAGTTTGGCAATCTCCATCAAGAGTTTATTCTTCCTCTACTTGAGATTCCCAAACACCTCCCTATTCCATTTCTTTAAATTCTCCTTCAACAATTTGAGCTTTTTGACAATAACAAAGCTCAGGTTCCCATTCTGTAGCCCTCCCACCAATGCTTAACTCTCTCCTTAAAGTCATCCACATGAAGCCACACATTCTCAAATCGGAAGGAAGTCCTCTCTTTCTTAAGCCCCCACAATCTAGAAGCAATGGAACATGATCTAACACCAGTCTCACTAATGTCTCTTGGGCAACGTCCGAGAATTTCTTCCCAACCCCTTGAGATCATAAACCTATCCAATTGGGACAAAGGAGTTTGTTTACCACTAGACCAAGTGAATGTAGCACCTTCCGTCGGCAAGTCAATCAAGTGTTGGGTATCAATGAACTTTGAAAATTGCTTCATCTATGAGGACCACATTTAGAAGATCTCTTAAATGATAATCTGATTCACTACATTGAAATCCCCTCCCACAGACCAATGAACATCCTAGTTCTCCTGGCATAGGATACCTCTTCCCATAGGGCACCCTTATTTGTTAGAGGTTCTTGTCCCACATCGGATCCGGTGGGAAGGTCATGGGCTTATATGGGGGGGTATGCAACATTTCCCAACAACTTAACCTTTTGGGTCAGAGTGCAAGTGCTTAGTCCGTTGCAATGGTATTCGAACCAGACCTAGTGCTTGATCCGGTGCCATGCCAAGCGCCCGCTTGGGAGGTGTCCGGGTCTCTGCCGGATAGGTAGGGTGGTTCGACTGCAATGAGGCCGGTGTGAATTTTGGTGGGGGAGAATGTTAGAGGTTCTTGTCCCACATCGGATTTGGATTAGGAAGATCATGGGCTTATATGGGTGGGTATGCAATACTACCTAACAACTTAAGCTTTTGGATCAGAGGGCAAGCGCCTGACCTATTACACCTCTCAGCATCCTCCGTGGGGCTACACTTTGGAGAATACCTAAGAGAATCCATCCTCTAAAGGAACAAGCATGATACGGAATATTTATGCTTCTAAACATCAACTTTGGAGACCCATCTACTAACCCACAAAACCAAAATACCCCCCATTGCCTCAATAGAATCAAGAGCTTCCCACTCAACAAATCTTCCACCCCAAATTCTCCTTACTGTACCAATCCAGTGGAAGGAGAATACAACTTGGATTCTTGCAAGCAAACTACTTGGGCACCCCACTTCAACAAATGGCAATTTAACCACTTTCCGCTTGCATCAATTCCCATGCAATGAGAACTCAATATGTTCAGGCTAATCGTCATGGACATCAACCTCAACCTAACCCTAAGAAAAGTGCCCCTTTATCTTGACACTCAACCACATTCACAAATATGAGTTTTGAGAACTTCAAACGCTTTGAGATTGCAAGCTTGCTTTGACAGTATACTGGAAGATCGTGAATCTTGATCTATATTGGGACAGAATACATCCTTCTCCAAATTCACGTTCTTATTCATCTTTTCAAGATAATAGGTTGGCCCTCATACTTATGAACCCTAGAAACGATTCTCAACATATTCTACACTGAGTCAAACGGTCAGACCTAATAATGAATGATCCATCTTCAGCGTCACCATCTTTATTTCAGACAATAACTTCCAAACCCTAGTCAGGTATGGATTGAAGAAAGGATAATATGGATGTTTGACCATAAGATACCCAACCAAGGAAAATTTCCAATACTGAATCTCTTCCTCCATGTCCTTTTCTTCAATAGAGATCAGATCATCTGACTTGCACTCGGGAAGGAACTGTAAATTCGAGAATTAAGAGACTGAATCTTCTTAGGACAAGTTGCTACATAAAGTGTGGATGTGAATGTGGTCGGGATGAAGAAGTCCCTGAAGGTTAAATGGAGGGGGGGAAAGCCCTCCTCCACCATCATGTTAATGCCGTTCACCTACTGGAAATTTAGGCCACCAGGAAAACCCTAATCGCCCAGAGCAAGCTTACTTCCATATACATTTACTATTTATGCAACACCTTTTTTCTCTTGAATTAAAAGAATAGAAGAATTTCCATCAAATGCTAAAATTTACAATCTTGGCATTATGGTAAGTTATAATGGTGCCAATATATGGGTAAGTCTATCTATGGAATGGTTCAATTCTTTTTCTACAGGATGGTTACTTGGAAATATAAGATTTTGTTTGGAAAATCTGATTATCAATCTAATGTAATTATATACAACATTTGAACTTTTGAAGGAGTAGGTTCAGGGAATCTAATTAGTTGGCAATTTTAGTTTGGTAACAGTGTTGGATGAGTAAAGAAAACACCAGTAGATGGTGTCTATGTGATCGAATAAGCTAATGAAGTTTTGTTTACTCATAAGTTATGTTTCCCAATAATCTTTATTGCTTCTTGAAACACAGGTTGCCGGAGCTGCCGCAGCTTCTGGCCTCTCTCTTACTGATGTTGCGGCAGCAGCAAAACATGCATCTGAGATGGTTGGAACAATGGGTGTCGCACTTTCTGTTTGCACACTACCAGGCCAGGTAACATCAGACCGTTTGGGCCCAGGAAAGATGGAGCTTGGTCTTGGAATTGTAAGTAGAACTTTGTAAGCCACCTCATTCCTCTTGTTCCAGCACATGAACGCCATTTGAGTTAACTTTGTATTTTCTGAATAATTTCCATTGTTATGTTCATATTACATCCTAAGTTTGCAAAAATTATATCCCAAATGGACTGCTTCTATTGCCGTGCGCTTTATCTATTACCTTCTCATTATTTGGTTGATACTGCCTTCTAGTTTGCTGTTGCTTATTTTTATTCTTTTCTCTTCGGAATACAACAGGCTGGTGCAAAATTTTCTTATCAAGTACTTCACTTTTTGTGCCCGTTTTAGCATATTAAGCTAACTAAAATGTATTTTTTCAGCATGGGGAACCAGGTGCTGCTGTGGCTGACCTCCAGCCTGTGGATGTGGTGGTTTCTCATGTTCTTCAGCAAATACTATCACCGGTATGCCCAATGGATATAGATATTTATACTATCTCAAGTTCATTTGCATCGTTTGATTCTTGTTTATCTTCTGTAAATGCACAAGGAGAGTAGGTCCTATTTGTTTTCCTTCATGTATTGAAGGAGCTTATTGAATTCTTAGGACTGTTGACCTTCAGATACTAACCCTGAAATATTACTTTAAAAGGTTTGATGTTATGAGAATCATAATTGGATTCCGGGGCTGGATTCCTTTTTCATTTTCTGAATTTGTTTCAACTTTTACTGTTTTCTACACTGTAGTTTTGAATTGGGATACGCTCATAAGTATAGAGAATCTATGTTCTATTAATTTGAATTGTGAACTGTTTTGTCTCATGCATCATAAAACACATTGACAATTTTGAATTTAGGTACAAAATAGTATATATTTAGAAACAAAAAGATCAGAATTGTTCACTTGCTCCCTGGTGTGTAGGAAAATGTATGCACATCTCAAGTATTAACCGTTAGATTCCATTGGGCAGTTAAAAAAGTAGTTTATTCTTTTATATCCAACGGTTAAGATTTAATTCCTGCATAAATTCCTTGCACACTAGTGAGTAGGTGAACAGTCCTAACAAAAAGATATCCTGTATAAATGTTGGAAATAATAATATCTGACTTCTTTTATTTACCTGAACACATTATCTTTTGGGTAACATTATACTTCGGGCTTACCATCATCTATTCATTTCTTTTTGTACTTATCTAAATGATGCTTTGATATTAATATTACTCTAATTTCATGATTATAAGGGTTTTCTACCATAACCTATTCCATAATAAAAATGTTGGATATAATAATATCTGACTTCTTTTATTTACCTGATCACATTATCTTTTGGGCAACATTATACATTGGGCTTACCATACTCACCGTCATCACTTCATTTCTTTTTCGTACTTATCTAAATGTTGCATTGATATTAAAATTACTCCAATTTCATGATAGAAGAGTTTTCTATGCCCTTACCATAACCTATTCCATAATTATAATGTATATGTCTTTCAATTAAAAAAAGAAAAAGAAAAAGACTTAAGCATTGGTGCTACTGGCTTGAGTTTGAGTGCTATAACAGTCACTTTATAAAATACCAACATTTAGATCTATCTCGAGTCTCCCACCCCAAGACCCTTCTGCGATGGGACAGAATTGATAATGTGCTTTATATATCTTTTAATTAATTGAACCTGAAGCATGATTATGGTTATTGGAGGCTACAAACATTTTTTATATATCATTTTTTTTTACAATCTTTTCAAAAATCTTTTGGTTTTCCTTTTCAAAGTTTGCCTTTCTATTGTTGCATATTCAAACCAAGTTCTTTAGCACCATTTTTAATATTTATTTTTTGTTTTAACGTTTTAAAAATGAGTCAGTCAATATGAACTCCCATCTTATTTTTTATAAAAAAATTTAAACCGATTCATTTAAAATAAAACTAACTGCAGTACAAAAAAGATAGAGAGTGCATCCTCTCCTTTTACAACTTCACTTAAACTGGAATTGAGAAATGCCATTTATGGTACAATGGAAAAAGAAAGACGAAAAATAGGTAACGCAATTCAAGCTTTATCTAGAATATTAAACAAAGATCCTTTATGGACAGTCCGAAGACTATAGTAGCATCCAACAAATAAATCTATGGCAATCTGATCTGGAGATCTGTGTTCACCACCATGGAGCCTAGAATTCCTCTCTCTCCGTAAGTTCCAAAGGACATTAGCACAAGTACACTTGATAAACTTCGACAATGAAGACTTGCCAGCATAAAATTTAAAAGTCCATTCACATAGATGTTGAAAGGAAAAATACACTCCAGCACCAATTCCAAACAGCAGCCGCTAAGGGGTTCAAAACAAACAAATGATTGTAGTGTGTTCACCACCTCAACCATCATGCCTTTCATCTTTAAGTTAGTCAAGGAATAGAACAATGATGAATAATACAAGAAGAGATAACTACTCTAGGCCTAGATCCCTCTATACTGGCCATTGAGCCAGCACCCTTGTAAAATACATCAAAGACCTCAGCAATAACTTTTGCAGTACCAATATAGGATTTGACAATCAAGAATAGGTGATGTAGGACAAGAGTAAAGCCTTAAATAGTTAAGAACTAAAGAATTCAGAGGCTGAAATTCCAAAGAACTAGGGCTGAAATTTGGAGGTTCGATAGTAGAAATGTAGAAAAACAAAGGATAAGTAGCTGGAAATTCAAATAAACAGATTGGTGGAGAAAAAAGGATTGAAAACAAGAAAAAGCCTATTGGCATCACACCAATAGAAAACAAAAACCTATTGGAATCACTCCAACAGGGCCTACGTATAACACCTAGGGAAGGCCTTACATCCTCAGAATTTGTGAATCACTCACAAAGAAACCTCAAAGGATATTTTTATTCATTCATTGATTGACTAATCAGAATTACATAGTATCCTTTTTATAATAAAGGATGACCCTTGGATTACCCTACAATCGAGGTAATCAAAAGTTGACTCTAGCTTAATAAAGTAACAAATAACTTAATTGATGCAATTTACCAAAACAATGCAATGTCACCATAATTAATGCAATTACCAAAATAATGCATTTTGACCAAACCCCCTAATTATGCAAGACTCCAAGTGGACCCCCCATCGTCTAGCATGTGCCAAATTAAGCTTTAAGCTCTAGAATCCTCTTTCCCACGCCTATTATACATTTTAAAACGCTGCTGCTATTGTCCTCTACTTGCTGCCACTGTTCTCTACAAATAGGACATCAGCAAAGAAGTGATTTAGCTTTAGCCCCACCTTCTCAACAGCTTTGCATAAATGAACTGAACCTTCATTCACCTTGATATGTATAAGGTTAGAAATATATTCAGAAGCCAAGGTGAAAAGAAGGGGAGAGAGGGGACACCCTTGTCTAATTCGTCTATCGGCTGGAAAAATTTAGAAGGAATACTGTTACTGAGCGGAGAGAACCTGGTAGAGGTCACACATTGCTTAGTCCACCCTAGCCATTGATCATCAAAGCCATTAAGTTTCATAAGGTCAAACAAGAACTCCCAAGATATGAAATCATAAGCTTTTTTAAGGTCCACTTATATTGCTATTGAAGCCTTTCCAAAGGTTATGAGCTAAATAATGTTCCCATGAATCCTCCTTCCCTTCACAAAGGCAACTTGCTCGTTCCCAACACGATTATGTACTGCTGGATTCAGTCTTTTTGAATAATTTTAACACAATTTTGTAAATGATTTGCAAAAAAATATTGGTCTAATGTTAGTGATTTTATTTTTCTTTGGGATTAGAGTGAGAAAAGTCGCATTCATATCCGTAGGCATAGACGAATACTGAAAGAAAAAACTTTACTGCAGCTATAATCTTAGAGATGATGATGTGCCAAAACCTTTGGAAGAATCTTGCAAGAATACCATCTGGGTCTGTTGACTTATCTGGAGAGAAACCCATAACCAACCCCTGATCACCTCATCTGGAGTAGGATGCTACAAACTCAGCCTTTCCTTATCATTTAAGGAACTTCTAGGCCATATCAAAGGCAAACGAGTACCAACATCAGACTTGGAGTACAATTTCTCATAGAATTCAACTAGCCAAGCCTCCATAGTATCCGGATTAGTAGAACAAATTTCATCCTCTCTCTCAACAGAGTGATAAGAGTATACAGCCCTTCTTTGTATGACTTTTGACGAAAGAATTTTGGCTTAGTCTAGCCTTTTGAGACCACAAAACTTCCTCTAGAGATAAAGGCACTACCATGGATTTGTTTCTCTTTCTAGCAAATCGAATCAATTCTTCATTCATAGGATTCTGTTAAAAAGATAGGTTAATAGCCTCCAAATTCTCCTTGGCTTCTTCACCTGATTCATGGTAGACCCTTTCTTTTTATTCCAGTTGCTGACTCTTTCCCTGACCACCCTTAGCTTTTTTATCACACCTCTTCCTTCCAAGCTACTGCAACAATTTGTCTAACCTCTTCCAAAGAGCCTCAAACCTTCAAAAACTTAAAAGGTTTTGGACACACTGCACATTTGGCATCTGAATAAACCACCATGCCGTAGTGATCCTAAAGGGACACTTCTGTTAGAGTCATTTTAGAGTTGTTAAACCTTTGCACCCAATCTGAGTTCACTAAGCCTCTATCCAATCTATCAGAAATTTTCTTTCTAGTGAACTGATTATTAGACTGAGTCCACCCTTCATTTTTTACTGGCTGATCATCGAAGCCTATATTTTGAAGAGTGGAATTGAATTCATCAATGAACCTTTTAGGGATTCTCAGCTCACCAATCTTCCCTTTATGGTACTTTACCACATTCCAGTCCCCAATTGAGAGCCAAGCACCATGAACCAGCCTGGCAACACATCAAATTTGAATTTAACCCAAGCCAAAATTTTCCACCTGAATAAGCATCATAATCCCCAAACCATTTATATGTATCATCCACCCTTGCACTGATGTTATTAAGATTTTTGCTTCTAACCCTGGTCACAACAAAGCAAGCGACACTATGATTATGCTCCTTTATTCAACTGCTAACTACCTTCTGCATCCCGGGCCTTTGAAGCCCCCTCACTTTCTATCAACCAATCATTAAGATGATTAGTGTGGAGGCAGAGTCCCACATGCTGACATAGTTCTTGTTACCCCATTGGAGGCAACTAAATTTTCTCTCATTTTTTTTTTGCCTTCACCAGAGTCATTACCAGCTACAATCTTGCTGATATCAGACTGAACATTTTCGTTATCCATTCTCGAGTTAGTATAAGCCTCATCTCCATTTTGGCTACTTCTAGCCTTAGGAGACTCACGACCACTGGCTTCAAGTATCACAAGTTGTGATCACAGGCAATTGCTCACCAGTCAACAGGAACCTCGGCAGTTTGTTCCACCACATTGACATCTCTATATCCTCACCCTTAGTACTATTGCCTTTCTCAACAACCAAGCCAGGACCCAAGGTTTGTTT